CCCCTGGTGGGCTGAGCTGGCCACACACACACACACACACACACACAATAAATAAACAAATAAAATTTAAAAAAATAAAAAACAAAAAATAAATAAATAAAAATAAAAGCTAAGCACAGTGACACATACTGTAATCCTAGGATTTAGGCTGAGGCACAATGACAAATTTGAGTCCAGCCTGGGCAACTTAGTAACAGTCTGGCTGAAGATAAGAGGCTGGAAATGTAGTTGAGTGGTGAGCATACCTATGTATTTTGGTGCTGGGGCTTGACCCCAGGGCCTCACATGCTAAGCCAGAATTCTACCACTGAGCAGCACAGCCAGAGTGTTGGTCTGTGTCAGATCAGTTCAGTTCTGTTTAGTAGGTAAGGATTTCCTAGCTCTGTATGGGAAGTTGGACCCCTGCTGGTTGAGGGAAGAGACAGAGCCCTCTAGACCCATCCTGCCAGCCTGACTACATGGCATCAGCCTTAGAGAATAGCAGGCATCCCAGCACCCCAGCTCCACAGGGCTCAAACCTTCAACACCAGCCCACCACAGCACCAGCGAGCAACTGCTCTGTTCCAGAGGGAGTGCAGGACAGCTGTGAAATGGCTGGCTAAAGAGAGCCGGGCCAGGGACCAGGCCCCCCAAGCCGGATGTACAAAGACGAGAGAAACCAGCAGGCCCAGAGCCATGGCCACTGCACTGTCGTCCTATGAAAGTCCCAGAGCAAGGCAGCCATGGGGTCCCACCTGCTGCGGGCTCCCCAGCTCCTCGGGCTCCAGAGCAGCCCTGGGGGATGCTGCCTCTGAAAGCTCCGCCGCCTCCTGCACGGCCACATCATCTTCACTCCCACCACTGAGCACTGGACTTCCTGGAGCAGTGCCTGGGCAGGAAAGAGGAGGCCAGTGAGCTCCAAGGGGGCTGCCTTGGCTGATGCCAGCGGAGCCCAAAAGGCCTCGCTCTTCGCGGCTTCATCGCTAGCACCGAGACCCTGGCAGGGGCTGATACGACCACGCAGCAGGCCTGGGCTCATCTTGTTTCTTAGCAAATATTCCTCTTTCCATGCTGCCATCTATGTCTGCCTAGAGGTGGCCCAGGAGGGCAGTCAGAGGGTGTGGCCGAGGCCCCAAGTCTATCAGCAGGGAGCACCCCCAGCCTGTCCACCCAGGGCTGCCTCCCTGGCCCCTCCTTGGTGTGCCAGTCCTTTCTCACCTGGCTTGTCCTGACAGAAGCCAAGCACAGGGACAGGACTGCTACGCCCAGAGACTTCCATCGGCTGCTCCTCAGCCCTCCTGGCATCTGAGAGAAATGGAGAGTAGACAGGGTCCCTATCTGGTACCCAGAGAGCCCCTCTAGAGGGATAGCTGAAGGCAGAGCTCCACAGGCCCCAGACCCCACACGGAAACCAGCTGTGATCTCATCAGCTGCCCATCAAGGGACAGGAAAGATGGGAGAGGGACAACTTCCACCAGAAAGCAGGCACCCGCAGAGAGAGCCCCTAAGACCTAAGCTGGCAAGCATGGGATACCTGACAGGACCACCCCCCAAAAGATCTTTGACACATTCCTTCCCGCCAAGCCTTGCATACCTAAGACCTCACCCTCTTGACTGCCTGGCATGGGGCACAGGCCAACTGGCTCCAACATGAAGGCCCCTCTAGGATTGGGGGTGCAGGTGTTCATCCTGAAGTCTTTCCGGCTGGCCAGGACCTCACCCTGACGGCTGTACTGGCAAAACACGCCTGCTGTAGACCCTTCTCA